TGTCGAAATAGTTTTGTGCGAGGACCATCGAATTCTAATGGCCTTTCACCCATGCAAGCAGTGGCTGGTTCATTTATTGGTTTCGCATGTGATGCAAATAAAGCTGCGTTAGATGAATCAGCAACTGGTCGAAATGGTTTATTTACATCTCATCTTCTTCAACATATTGATCAACCGAATTTAACTATTGATGAAATAATGTATGATGTTTGTGATGGTGTAATGAAAGAAGCAAATGATGATCAATGTCCATTTCGAGTATCTTCGCTTCGACGAAAAGTTTATTTAAATCAACAATCTACAGATGGTAAGTCTAAAATAATTCTGAATCACGATAAATATGAAGAATGCAGGATGTCGGAAAGTCATTTAGTAAAAGGTTCTTAGTACAGCTTTACTGTTCTATTAGTCTTTATCAGATTTTTTTAAAATTATTTCGACATATTTGTAAGGATTGTTTCAAGAAAACAAAGTTAAAATAATTCTATATCATTATAAATAATGTTGACAATTCTTGTTTCATCCATTTTATTGATTTCGATGCGAGTGAGATTAGTTCTTGATACTTTAACATCTGTTTAAAAAATCATCACAATATAACTTTATGTTCTGTTTTCATTCTCATAGAAAAATATCGTCAACTTCGTTCCCATTTATCTATAGAATTTATCAATCTTCTATATTTGCAAATCAAATTTATTTCTTTTTAGTTAAGATAAGAAGAAATCTATTTAAGTCTAATTTATGTCTCTTTCATTTTTCATTCTTAAGAATCTTTGTTAAACAAAAAACGAAAATTGTGACAATGTTCTTGCAGGGTTCTTATTAAAATGTTTGTAGAATTTAGTTTTTGTTGATCAGGACTTTATAGAACAAGAAACTTGTTTGTCAAATAAATACTGAAATTAGAAAATCTAAAAAAATAAAATATTCTCTTTCAAATATCTTCAATATGATTGTCTCATTCATTAAACTTAGAACAAAGAATATCATTCATACTAAATCTATTGTCTTACCATAGACTCACATCAATAAACATTTAAATAATTCATTTCATTTTCGTTTTAGATCGTTTCAAATAAACACATGTTTATTTTCATAATAAAATAAATTCTCATTTTTTATTTTTCGAATCTTTCTCGGGAATAAACAAATCCATTCAGATTAAATTAATTCGCTTTTATTTTCAGAAATAAAAACATTTAAATATTTTTCACGTTTTACTTCACAAATACAAAAACAATTTTATTAAATAAGTTTTAAATTAAATTAATTCAAATCACTTTTATTTTATTTCATCGTCATCCTCCCAACATACTAATTCAACAAAACAAACTCTCAATATGCATTTTTATTTTATTATATTTTAAAATAACACTTTTTATTCACATTTATTGACCCATTTCATTCAAATGTGAACAAAATCTTTTTTCTTTTAGGACAACCAATTCTTTCCAATCATATTAATATCAATACAAAATGGAAACAACATGGAACTACTATTGCTGGAGGAAATGGACCAGGCAATCAATTAAATCAACTCTCTTGTCCTGACGGTATCTATGTTGATGATGATCATCAAACTATTTATATTGCTGATTGGGAAAATCATCGTATTGTTGAATGGAAATATGGAGCAAAGAATGGTCAAGTTGTTGCAGGTGGAAATGGAGAAGGAGATCGAAGTGATCAATTGTATTATCCAAGAGATGTAATTGTTGATAAAAAGCATGATTCTCTCATCATTTGTGATCAAACCATCAGACGAGTGGTACGATGGCCTCGTCAAAATGGTAAAAACGGAGAAACAGTCATTTCTGACATTGATTGCTATGGTCTAGCAATGGATAAGAATGGAGATCTTTATGTCTCTGACTACGACAGGAATAAAGTGAGACGATGGAAACAGGGAGAGAAAGAGGGAACAATAGTAGCAGGTGGAAACGAATACGGAAATCACCTCAATCAACTCATTGGTCCTTATCATATCTTCGTTGATGCAGATCATTCAGTTTATGTGTCGGATCATGAGAATCACCGTGTAATGAAATGGATGAAAGGTGCAAAAGAAGGTATTGTTGTTGCTGGTGGAAATGGTGAAGGGAGTAGTTTGACACAATTGTTTTGTCCTCAAGGAGTGATTGTCGATCATTTGGGTAATGTTTATGTGGCTGACCGTGAGAATCATCGAATAATGCGTTGGTGTAAAGGATCTTGCGAAGGTAGTATTGCAGTTGGTGGCAATAGACAAGGAGAACAACCAAATCAGTTGAATTATCCCAGAGGTTTATCGTTCGATGTTGAAGGTAATCTCTACGTTGTCGATGGAGGTAATCATCGAATACAAAAGTTTGATATTGATTTGAATTAAATTTGTTGATGTTAATGATGAAAATAATAATCCAATTTTTTATAAAAATATATTTGTTTGTTTTGATTGAGAACGAAATAAATGTGAAAATTTTAAATAAATTTTTGTTAATAATTGAATTAAATTTGAATTATTGATAAATATCAGTTTCGATGTAATTTGTTAATTTTATTGTGATCGATTTCATATTGTATTTTAATAAACGAAATTAAAGTATTTTTTGATTAGATTGTGATACATATAGAAGTGAGTTTTAAATTCTACTGGAGATGAGATAGTCTGAAAGGATAAGAAAGTAAAATGGAAAAATATTGTAGTGATAAATTTGTGTGTATAAATAAATAAAACTATTTTTAGAATCAATAAATTTGTTAATTTATTTGATTTGTTCTATTGTGTCGATAATAACGATAATGAATTAACTGTCATTTTAATTTTGAATTTATTAAATCTGATAAAATGATATAATGAGGGTGTGGGTGTGGGTGGTATTCATCTCTTAATGTGATCCACACCCACACCCTCGATGTATTAGAGCAATATATATATTGCTGTTAGAACAGACTAACGGATATGAATTTCCCTGCTCTTTATCTAATTAAATTCTTATTGTATTGAAATTTTCTTCTACTATATGTCAAAGACATAATTCAGTCTTTTATTTTAAGTAATTATATTATTGAAAGTCAAAAAAGAATAATATATATTTCGTTGCGTATCTAATGTAATAAGAAAACGCAGGTCATTCAAGATAATATTTTTAAGTCTGTTTAATTTGTTCAAACAATGAATATTTCTAGTGAAGAATCAGTTTATAATGATACATTCGTTCTTCATCGAGTTAAATTTATTATTTTAGTCAGTTTCCAAATTCTATCGATTATAATATCTCTTTTATTTTTCATATTTTCCATTACTTATCATACTCGTTCAAATGTATATCAAAATCAAGCAATATTACTCTTATTAATTATCAGTTTTTTCCTTCTCTCCGCTGATTTACCAATGCCTATTCATTTTTATTTTTTCTTAATTATGTTAATCCAACTACAGCAAGATTTTGCACATGGTGGACATTTTTTGAATATAGTCTTAATTTAACAAGTGAACTTTTAGTGGCTGTTATCTCTATTCAACGACATATACTTATATTTCAACCATCTTTATTAAACACTCGTTTCATACGATTTCTATTGTGTGTTATTTATCCGATCATATTCTGTATGTTTGTCATTACGTTCTATCCATGCGATGGTACTCAATGGAACTTCACAAATAATTTGTGTGGTTACGCAAATTATTATCTTATTTTATAATAGAATTCTAGGTATATTTGAATGGGGGAGTCAATAATGGTTTACCAGTTGTTATTATTACTTTAGCTAATATAATACTCGTGATACGAATCATCAACACATTTCTGTAAGAAAGCAGAGGCGTATGACATTACAATTACTTAGTATCTCTAGTCTTCTTATTGGACTTGGTCAACAACTAATCTCGACAACTTTCTTAGTTCAATTTCAATTCGTCTATGATCTTGATCTGATTTATTTAGTTTGTCTCCTATTGCCATGGATTTGTATTCGATTGCTATCCGGATTTACTGTATTGAGGCGGGACCAATGGCACCACATGATAATACTTCATAATCGTATTAGACCTATGTAATACATCTACTTCAAAAATAATTCAGTAGTATTGAACTTATTTATAGTATACTAATACGGTGATAGAGGGTTACGTAAAATTACAAATGTATTCAAACAGTCTATTTTTATCTGTAACATATAAAAAATTCGTCAGGACACAGATTGTATTCTTACGAATTAAAAGAGTATTAAAATACTCTAAACACTACTGATGGAACTTGAAGATTGTTTTATGACAAT